TAATGGGCCGAAAAATTTCTTATTTGGGCTATAATTTCGATTATTATTTAATTTGAGCCCAATGTTTATTCTTTCTTTCCTTCCCTCTCCAAACTCACGGTTTGAAAAAAAGAAAAAAAATTGAATGAAATTAATTAGTGACACCTCACTAATAACCACCAAGTAACAAAGCAATAACTAACATATCTCCATGCACTCACCTTAGGACCTCCATGCAAGAACCACCCTACTCTCTCTCTTCCCTCTTTAATCTCGACCAAAGGCCATTCTTTCCCTCACCAAAAATCATTTCAAGCTTCATTCCACTTCCATTTCTCTCTAAACCTTCAAGGAACTCTCTCATCCTTCCTCAAAGAAATCATGGTTTGTGTGTGTGTTCAAGAGCTTTTCATTAAAGATCACAACAAGGTATGTGATTATCACTCTCCAAAATGATTTGTCTTCAATTTATGCTAGATCATTCCTTATAAACACCTTGTTTTCATAATCATGCTCCTAGAACTCTCTAGGATTCGAAAACTCATCTCAAGGAGGCATCCAAGACCGAAAACATCTTAACATTCTTTATGTAACTCATTTTGGTTGTTGAAAGGATAAAACATGTCAAGGGATAATTGAAAACTAAATAAAACCTCATGAGGGGCCAAATTTGACAAATAAGCAAAAAGTGAGCCTTTTTATGAGACTCACGGTTTTAAATGGGCCAAAAGAGTCATTTTGGATAAAAAAAAAAATGGATTTTATGACATTCACGGTTTTGTAGGGGTCAAAAGCGTTATTTCTGAAAAAATGGGCTTCTTTTGGGCCTTCACGGTTTTAATGGGCTAAAATGGTCATTTTTCATAAAAAGAGGCCTTATTTGAAAATTCATGGTTTCATGGGTTGAAAATGTAAATTTTTGGCCTTAATGGACTTAAAATGTCATTTTTATCAAAATGGGCCTTTAACTGTAAACTTTCGGCCATAGTGGGATTAAAGTGTCATTTTTATCAAAAATGGACCTCTAATGTAAATTCTCGATTTAATGGGCCGAAAATATCATTTTTATCAAAGTGGGCCTCAAATACCTATTTACATTTTTATTGGGCCTTAAATGCCTATTTACATGTTTATTGGGTCTCAATTACCCATTTACATGCTTATTGGGCCTTGTATATTCATTTCATGTTTATTGGGCCTTAAACACCTATTTACATGCTTATTGGGCCTTACGACACATTTTATACTAATCGGGTTAATAACATTAAATACTTGACATTTTGATAAAAACAAATGGTATTTTATCACCAATGTTTTGTAATCAAACACATACTCGAAACATTATTTTAAAGCGGTAAATAATGTGATACATTGTTCGCGTAAATTTAGTTAAGGCTCTTGTGAGATGCGTTTTCACCCGTACCTACCTAGTGTACAACCTTAAGTCCTGTAGTTATAACCAGATTCTCCTGGAGGGAGAGCGAGAGTTTGTGTATAGATCTATACGAGGTTGACAACCCCACACCTGAGTTGTTCGCTACAGCTAGACTAGGCCAGTCTAGGGTGACAAATGTCTTACCTTAAACAAGCGACGTCCGAAGAACGTCATGACAGGCAGATCAGTCATATCAAGCATGGTTATAACGACTCACATAGAGATTAACAAACACTATAAAATTTACGGAATACATATACGATACTTTTGATACACGTACGAGCTATTCCTTTCTACAACACTCGGGTCTTATGGTTTAAAGACTACAACTCTTTTACAGGTAGAAAATATCGGATTTTATGGGAAACAACCACTATACATTACATTTTATTTATAATAGAAAATATTGGATTTTCTGGAACTCTCTCTTTATACATTTTCAAAAATATGAACACACATGCTATGATACGAGATTTGAAACAAAACCCTCAACTACTTTTACGGAAAATATCGGATTTTCTGGTGTTTACAAACGATACAAAACTTTTTATACAAACATGCTTATGAACTCACCAATATTATATACGTTGACGATTTCAAAATAACTTGTATTCTCAGGGACACGTTAAGCAGGTCGGTCATCAAGAACACGTGGATTTTTGGTTGTATTTTTGCTATCGTCATACATTTAACATTTGGAATGTAATTTGTAAACCAACACACTTATGTAAACTATGATGGTTGTTATATTTCATGCATGATGATGATGTTGTCTTGATTCAATTATATACAATGTGATGATATTACAAGATGAAGTCACCCGCCCCGGACGTTTCCGTCGTTCTGGTTCGGGGGTGTGACAATATGCTAGTTGACTATTATGTTATTTGTATGGAAGACCCCGGGGGAGCCCATGGCAGTTGGATATAAGACCATGTGGGGGAGCCCATGACATTCCTAGGTAAACATCATGTGGAGGAGCCCATGGCAAGTAGTAAAGACCATGGGGGAAGCCCATGACATGTAGGTATAAGACCCTGGGAGGAGCCCACGACATCCTTATATGTTTGTATGCATGGCTTATGTGTTTTATGTAGCTTATATAGCTAATATGGATTATGTGATTATGTGGATTGTGTGAGGGTATGCTCTGGGGAACTCACTAAGCATTAGCTTACAGTTTGTTGATTTGTTTCAAGTACTTCAGAGCCTAAGGGCAATGGCAAGGTTTGATGGCACGGCATGCACTCTCCGACATTTTATATGGGGACACTCTGATATTTGAAATAAAATGTTGATGTTATGAGTTTTGAAAACAGTTGTCATTGAGATTTCATATTTTATGGGAATGTTTTGATTAACTAAAAATGAAAAAAAAAATTATTTGGAAAATTGGGATGTTACAATACAGATGATTTAAAATATTTATGATTCAATATGTTTATGATCTAAAAACATTTTGATTCAAATATTTAATGATCCTTAATTATTATATTTTTTATGATTCAAAAATTATAATGATCCAAATGTTGTATTGAATAAAAACTTTAATTAATATGTTATTATCTAAAAATGTATGATGATTCAAAATACTATAATTCAAAATTTTATTATCTAAAAATAATATTATTCAAAAAAAAAGTATGAATGAAAATTATTATGATCCTAAATACTATTCTTATTTAAAGTTTTATAATTGTTAAACATTAAAAACTCAAATCGATATTTAGTTTAAAAAATCAAAAAAATAAAAAATAAAAAAAAACCTACTATCTTCAAGAATGTAGTAAAAATATTAAAAAAACAAAAAACAAACAAAAAAATTTTAAAAAAACGAATATATATATATATATATATATATAAATATATATATATATATATATATATATATATATATATATATATATATATATAACCGAGCCTATATCTATTTAAGAAGATTTTTTTTATTTCTAACAAAAAATAAAAAAACAAAAAAAACCAAAATAAAGGATAAAGAAAAGGAAAACCCACTTAAATGACTTTCCATGGACGTTCGTCCCGCATGATTATTCCCTCGAGTCCGTATTACGTTCTATGCACGTGCGTCGCGTGCGAACGCGTCACGACCAAGTAAATGTGTTTGACGTTTGTGTCATTGACGAAATGATTGATGGAGAATAGTCTTCGTGGTTTCCTACCAATTTTTGGGTTTCTATAGGATCCGGACCCTCTCTCTCTCTCTCTCTATATATATATATATATATAATATATATATATATATATATATATATATATATATCTATATATATATATAATGTTAAGATCAAATAGAACTTAAACAATACCGAGAACTCCTCTTTAAGTGATAACTTTTTCTAAATACTATTTTCCACAAAAAATATCATAATTATATTCGGTTTTATACATCTAGATTAATTGCTGCAAAAATTAGAAAGAAAATGATTTTTTTATGTGTATGATGCACATGATTTATACATGTATGCATATGAACATGTACACATGATCTGCACATGTGTACGATGCACATGATATGCACATGTATGCATATGTATTATGCAAATCATCTGCAGACATGCGAAAAAAAATTTGTTTTTTCTCTTAATATTTTGCAATGACTCGTCTAGATACAACCTATATAATACATGGTGTCGTCTTATTAAAAAAAATCATAAAAAGATTTTAAATATATGGTTACAAAAAACTCCAAATGCATTACTTATCATATTAAACTTGCATTTTTGTGCCGAAATAAGTAATATCCATGTGTTATTCATCATCATAAATAAAATGTGAAAACGATTATAGCAATAAAGAAATTCTATAACGATGATAATAAGTAATGCTATTATCTTTACTAGTACTTTTAAATTACAAAAGCACCTTTAAATTGACAAACTACTAAAGTGTGTAAAAGAACAAACATGGATCGAAGAAAAATGCACATTCTTCAAAAAAAATTAAAAAAAAAAATAAAGACTTTAACTATATTATAGAAATGGTCGCTTTAGTCGATTTCAAACTTTTATTCCTTACTTTCTAATAGTTTTGTTTGGACGAAACAATTTGATTCAATTCAATCAAGTAAATTTAGAATGTTTTCGGTTTTAAAGACATAGACCTAAATACAAAATTGCAAAAACAGTCCCTATGGTTGTAAAAAAATATATGGTTTTGGTCCAAAAACGTTTGATGGTGCATCACTGGTCCAATTTTAAATTACCTTGTGCAGTTTTGTTCCCTATACCGTTAACTTTAACAGTTTAGTTGTTAATTTTTTTAAAATGACTTTGTTAACTTCTATTTTTTTTTAAAAAATTTGATTAATTTTTTAATTGGATTATTATATATATATATATATATATATATATATATATATATATATATATATATATATATTAAAATTCTCTTACCTTAGTTACAGTAAATTTGTTAAGGAATTGGCACAATGGGTCCCCTGTTTTTGTATATATGTTAAAAAATTGTCCATTTTCTGGGTTTTTTTTTCATTCTCTATATTTTGCTGGACACGTGTTGTCTTAATGTTTTTCCTTTGGCTTCTGATATAAATTCCACCGCCTTTGCTCTCCAATCGGATGCTTACACAGTTGCTTCCACCGCCTTCTCTCATTGATAATTTGGTCCCTGCCCCCATCGATAAACCTTCCCGATCCTTCCATCACCGCTTTATTTTTCTCTTCGCTTCTCTCTTTCGTCTCCTTTTACCAGCTATATGCTTCGTGTTCATGTCCTGCCCTAAATCCTGCTAACGATTCAAAGACGACATGTCTTCCTTCAGTTTCCTAACCATTCTTCATCATCACAATGGTTATCACTTTCTCTGGAAAGCTCCTCCACCGTCATCATCTACTGGCCTTCGTACTGTTATCTCCGTCTTCCCTTTAATTGTTCTTCTTGCCCGATCGGAATTGTGTCTGCAACGACTTCTAGCCCTAAAAATCACCATTCACGCCTTTAGAGGGAAACATCGACACCTCATCTACATCATTCATTATGTTCGTCGATGTCTCTACTCATACTTCCAGGTAATCAATATTTAGTGTTCACTTATTTTCATTTCAATTTAAGCTTTCTCCCAAAACCCAAATTGAAATCAAAACTCAATACATTAATTTAGCATGTTTGATTTACAGTTCCGGAAATCTATAGCTCTTACAAGTTTCATTTTCCACATAAAGATTTACTCATTTGGTGATTTATTCACCTATACAGACCTGCTTATATACCGTATCTCCATCTTTCGTTCCCGCTGCATGCCTCCTTGATCCTTCTCCTTCCAGGTAAATTGATTGTTGGGTTTTTTTTGTTCAAATTGGTGCATTGCGTTTTTTATAGGATTGAGGTTTCGATTGAGTGGATTGGGGTTGTACCTGGCAACTTACTTCATGTCTGTGATTCTTCTGGATGCAAAAGGAGCTTATCGTAAGTCTTTTATATCTTAATTTATACATTGATTATTTATTTATTTATTTATTTATTATTGTTTTTTTTTTCTTTCAGCAAGAATCAAACGGGTATGTGAAACAGAGCTAGGAATCATTTCCTAATGCTTCCAGTCAAAAAATGTCATGAACCTTCTCATACAATACTTTGAAAATGTGGCAATGAAGATCAATGTTAAGGTATTATTATGTTATCAACTTATCAGTTATCATCATTCTTTTTTTAATAACACAGTAATAATAATAGTAATGTACTCAATTGTAGGAGTATATTATAATTAGGTTGGTGGAAGAAACACAATTTTCGTTGCAGCTCTTTCTAATAGACTTCATGTTCCTAGGTTATAAGATTTGCCTGTTATGCAAGTAGAACAGATTGGTTTTATGCTTCAGGTAATTATCTACTTATTATACCGACCACTTTGATGCACATTTTACAAATTTCACTAAACGTGTTGAAACAATTGAAAATTGTGTATGTATGCATGAAGACGATCATGAAATCCTCTCGAAGCATCAAGACTAGAGAAGTGGCTTAGCAGAAGTATGAAGATCTCGGCGTCTTATAGTGACATTAATAAGTACTATAATTATGAATACGGTTTCTATTGGCACTTTCACCAGGTAATTTTCTTATATACATAATTCAAAACCCAATTATAAACTTCCACTTATTTAAATGATGGTTATGATTGCAGGATGGAAAGATTGAAGTTGAAGTTAAACTTACGGGGATTTTGAATTTAGGGGCATTGCAGCCTGGGAAGTTAGAAAATATGAGACAATAATTGTACCAGTATGGTTGTTAATTGCAAGTCTGAGGAAGCATATAATCAGGTATATACTGTGATTTTGAAGATTGTGCATCATTACTGATTTCCAATCTGTTAGGTGTTCTTTGGTCCTTAAAATACCCTTTAATAGTACCACCCCCCTGCATCTTACTTTAATAGAAATCTTTGACTATAGAGATCTGATACCTAAAATACCCTTCAATCCTACTCCATCTTACTGTTCTACTTAACACACAATTTTATTGTAATCTTTGACTATAAATAGAATACCTAGAATACTACAATACCCCTCAATAGTGCTCATTCTGTGTTTGACTTGATAAAAATATTTTATTGCAAACCAATTACCTAAAATACCCTTCAATAATACTTCTGCAGTGTATTCAACTTGACATACAGTTTGATGAAAATCTGACTAAATCAAAAACCTAAAATGCCCTCCCTTCGTTAGTTTGTCTTGACGTGTGGTTTGATAAAAAAAAAAAACTTAAATACCTAAAATACCCTCAATAGTCTCCGTTTCTCTCTTCGACTTTTGCTCCTTGATCTCAAATTTCCAATCTTAATGTACAATAAATATTCATTTTCCACTTCTTTTTTCTGATTTGCAGCAAGAAATGTGACTGGTGAAAGCACTTCTATCATATATCCAGGGTAAAGTTGGTAATTCTTCAATGTCCTATACACAAGGCAACTTTTTTCACTTTTGTAATTCGTTAAAATTTATAAAGTGTAATGTTTAGATGCTATAATTCCTTGATATGGAAAAATTGGAATTATGTGGTGTAGTAAAAAGTAGAAACAAATAAAAAAGTATCTGTATGGGTTTCTTGGATTGCTAATGTTGATTTTTTTTTTTTTTTTTTTTTTTTTTGTATTCAAGAGTCGGTCAAGAATTGTGGTAAGAAAATTTTAATTGAGAATGCTCTTGTGAATAAGAGGTAAAACCATATGGAAGGTTAACAAGTAATGAATTAAAATCTACATATGCATTAGAACTGAATTTTCATTTCTAACTTTGAGGATGAAATTTAGGATTCGTTTAATTTTTTGTCTTCCAACAGTGTTGCTATAGAAATCAGGTATTTTTTATGAGTTGAAGTCCAAATTAGAGAAAAAAAATTGATTTTAATTACGGCCTAATCTCTGTTATAAAATATATTTTTGATAATTGAATTTCCGGTTTTGCTATTTCCATTTCTTTGTTTTTTGAGCCTAACAAGTGCATTTCAACAGATAAATAACACAATAATATTTGAATTTGTACATGTGAATCCATGTTGGTCAAATGTGATAGACTTGTCATTATTCTCACTGTCAAACATCTAAATGGTTGACATTATTGATAAGACAAGGAATGATTCACGTTAGTGCTGGATTTTATGTGTTCTTTGGGGTATAGTTGGAAGCACCATATTGGCAACATTGCAAATATGGTTGATATTACCCCTATATCAAAATGGTTTGAATTGAGTCTTTCATGCTACAATATGACTAGCAACTTGATGATATTGAAGGACAACTTCATTCTGGTGGTGCTAGAAGCAACAAAGTAGACGATTTTATCCCTATGTAAAATATATAGGATTTTACCCTTGAACAAAATATGGATATTTTACACATGCGCATTCACCGGATGATTGAAGGAGAGAGACTATCTACTTGGAGGTGTTATCTCCATTAATTCCCCTCTTCAGATACAAATAACAGTCGACATTTCTTTACCAAGTTCTTTGTTGGGTATTGTTATACAGAAAGAGGCAATCCGTCCGGCTGCTATCTATGGACCTAGACACGGAAGATACATAGGTCTAATTACACTATACGATCAAAATGTGTAAACAACACTCACTATTGATTTTGTTTTCGTATATGATAATGTAGTTGTGCATATAAACTACATTGCTTAGTTAGACAAAAAATAAAAGTTCATTGCCATTTTACGCATCACCTTTCTAACCGAATAAATATAATAACGACGCCTCTGCACCATGCGAAGCATGGGTTTCCTACTAGTTATATATTAATACTATTCTTTTTAATATATAATATTTATATATTAATAAATATTATTTTATTGGCTTATCAATCTCTTTTAATTATATTTTTTAATTTTTTTCATTAGATTAATTATTTTTTACTGAATTATTATATGTTAATAAAATATTATTTTTAATATATAATATTTATATATTAATAAATACTTTTTAATGGATTATTAATTTCTTCTAATTAATTCTTTTTAAATTTTTTAATGGACTAGTTCTTTTTTATTGGATGATTATGTATTAATAAATATTGCTTTATTAGATTATTAATTTCTTATAGTCAATTATTTTTAATTTCTTTTTTATTAGATTAATTATTTTTTATTGGATTATAATATTCTAATAAATACTATCTTAAATATTTAATATTTATATATTAAAAAGTATTATTTTATTGCATTACTAATTTTTTAATTATTTTGTTTTAATTGTTTTTATCTGTTTTCTTTATTAATTTAAATAAAAAAAACTAAAAAAATCTCACTCGCTTCACATCTTCTAATTTATTTTAAATATATGGAAGATAACATATTTTAGATAACACCACTATAACACCCGTAAGATATGGATAGATGATTAAAATATAATAATATTAATTATAATTAAAATCAATAGATGTTTTGATAGAAAATTATTTGGGATAAATAATCTTAATCAAAGTTGTATTATTCGTAAAAGTGAACTTATGCGTATAAAAAATGCCTAAATTTGACTTCGTATGAAAAAATTATGATTTTTCGAAGTTTCAGCATAGTTGTGTTAGCATAGAAATTGAAATTTGGATCAGTTGATTTTTAGCCGAAACAATCTAAATGAGAATCGAAGATCTCGTGAATAGGAACCTGTCAATATAAAGACAGTCGAGAACGGATGTCGTGAATATGAACCCGTCAATATTAATAAATAAATCTAGGGTTGTAAGCAAACCATTCGACGGGAAGTTCATTTATTTAATAAACGAGCGAACATGAACAATAGTCTTGTTCGTTCATATATGTTTGTGAATGTTTTTTTAGGTTGTTCGTTTATGTTCGTTCGTTTAAGTTTATTTATGTTCATATATGTTCAATTGTTTTTTGTTACATTACTATATTATATGTTCGTTTATGTTCATATATGTTCAATTGTGTTTGTGTATCTTTGTCTGTTTATGTTCGTTTGCTTATGTTCATTTTGCATGTTCACGAACATAAACGAACGAACATGAACAAGGTTACTTGTTGATCGAACGAACATGAACAAGAAAACTCGTTCGTTTATCCGTTCGTGTTTCTTCATTTGTTCAACTAACTTAAATGAATGAACATGAACAAGCCTGATATGACCTTATTAACTATATATTTTAGGTTATTTTCTTAATATATTTGATTAAAATGTTATATCTTTAGATATATGATACTTAATATGCTTGAAATTTTTTAATTATAGTTAAAATGGAAGCAATGATGCAAAAGGAGGAGAACGAAGCACAAAAAGACGCAAAAGGATGTTGTCGGCACCTTGACCCCTCGTCGGTGGTTTGACCATATCTCATGATTCGTCACTCCGATTGACGAGATTGAAGATGTTCTACAAACTAGAAAAAATTTTAGACGACTTTTGTTTTTATGCCAAATTCTGATTCCCAATTCCCACGCCGTGGCAAAGCCATTTCCACGGCGTGGAAAATCAAGACATTGCGTGCATGCGAAGATTCCATCTAAACCATCCAGTTTCTTGAGTTCGACACTCTTTCTTACCACAATTATATTACTTCACGACTAGGTACACTGTCTACTGGTGTTTAAGACTAGCTGAGATTTGATAGGACTTTATAAATAAAAAGACTATTACAAATAAAACACATCATAGCCCTTGTTCATGTTTGTTCGGTTCGTTTACAACCGTAAATAAATGTTATAAAGTAAAATCATATTTGTTAATATATTAATCCAATCAAAAATTAATCCAATCAAAAAAATTAAAAAACAAGAATTAATTAAAAGAATTAATATATAATATTTAAATAAAATAAAAAATGAGAGATGCGAAAATGGTCATTGTAGTTTTGTAAAAACACAGTTGCAAAAATGGTCCTTAAGGGTTAAACTGTCATTTTTAAAAAAATAATAGCCAAGTTGTTAAAGTTAACAGAATATAGACCAAAATTGTACAAAGTATCCAAAATTGGACCAGTGATGTACCACCAAACATTTTTGGACCAAAACCACATATTTTTGAAAACCATAAGGACCATTTTTACAATTTTTTCTAGTTCAAACTAAATTAATATTCGATGTGAATAATCCAAACTAAATAGGGGTTGGTTTTTATAGTTTAATATTACCTTTATACTAAAAAAAAAGTAAAAAACCAAAGTCGTTTGCAACAACGTAGGTATTGGTAATTTAAGTCATTCTGTTAAAATTTTATTTTATTGTTATCACCGTTCTACTTTATAAAATAACTTTTATATCTTTTTATTTTTTAAAATATTTTTTGGCCCCTTTCACTTTAAAACTTTTTAAAATGCCATTTTCAACCCATTTATTTTTCTAAACTTTTATATTTATTTCTTTTAATATATATATTATTTGATTTTTCTATAGTTATCACCACTCAATTTTATAAAATATCATTTTGATCCATCGGCTTTGAACTTTATAAAATGTCATTTTAACAATGTCGACTTTCTAAGCTTTCGTATCTACCCCCATCCATCGACAGTTACCACCCATCATATTTGTAAAATATTACGTTTACTCCCTCTACTTTCTAAGCAGTTATGTTTCCTCCTCCCCCCCCCCCCCTCGTAATATATATAATCCAGACAAAACTGTAAGATTGATCTTGTGGTATTCAAAAAACTTTTGATGAGGTCCAAAAACGTTCCCACTTGCATGGAATGTCCAAAATCAAAACATTTCCGTAATTTTGGTTAAAAAAACTTGAAATGACGATTATGCCCTTTTATTTTCTTTTTTGTATTTTTTATAACTATTCTAATACTATTTTAATTAAAAAATAAAAAAATTTATCCCCCACCCCGCCCACCGTTCTCTCTCTCTCTCCCTCTCTCTCTCTCTCTCTCTCTCCACAAAACCCATCTTCATCATTCTAATTTTGCAGAAAAATTAAATATCACCACTACCATCTGAACAAGATGAAGATCTGGGAACTAGATGAAGATGAAGAAATCAAGGGAAAGATGAAGATGAAGATCTTGTGTTCATCTCATAGCTAATACACAAATGCTAGAATTCAGGGGAAAGAAATTGATTTCTTGCCTTCAAACACGAACAAACACATACACTCCAGAAACCAATTGTTTTTTTTTAATTTTAATTAATAAATTACTAAAGAAAATGTAAAAAAATACAAATAAAAAAACAAATAAAAAGGACAAAACAATCTTTTCAAGTTCTCCGGTGACCAAAACCAAAGGAACACCTTGATTTTGAACCCTTCATGCAAGTTGGAAACTTTTTGGACACTATCTAAATTTTTTTGAATACCACAAGGACCAATTTTGAAGTTTTGTTGATAATATAATTTTACTTCGTTCGTGAATTAAAAACAAAAACTAATTTCTTAGGTGCTTATTTTTATGCATGTGTATAAATTCAAGTTTATCTACGTTTCGAAATAATTTTTTTTATGTTTTATGCTTTATTCCATATACGTTTCCTACGTATGATTCAGGTTACATATAATACATTTTGGATTATTTGAACTTTTGCTTGTTAACTTAAAAACAATTAATCTTATTTGGTTATTTTTATGTATGTGTCGGTATAAATTCAAGTTT